GCTCATCCAAAAATTCTGTTGAGAGCACTCTTTAGGCAAGCATGAGTCCGTTATATGATGGACTCCTTTCATGGGCATATTTGATTCCATCATAAACTATGCGGAAGGCTCGTCAGCTCCCTTCCAGTTTGAATTGATTTAACCCTTTGAGGACCATGAAAGTACCGGTACGTCCATACCCCGCAGGGTTAAAAAAAAAATACCTCGGTCCTGAAAGGGTTAAAGGCGGAATTTTTTCATGGAGCTTGCTAAGACTTGATGTGTTGAAAGACCCTGTAGCTTGAGTTTGGAGTTTGAAATGTTAAAATGAGATTCCATCATATGAACCGAAAGATATTGGTTGGTACTCGAAATGCAGCATCTATCTAATCCAGTGAATCCTTAAATATTGGAAATATTAATTTCGAGGTCTCTGTTTTACATTGAAACTATACGCCAGGTGCCCTCCGAAAATTTCTGTCATGAGAAGTATGAAAGGATATGCTTAAATTCATTATCTTTGCTTTTTCCATCTATTTAACTCATGAATGACAGGAATCCAAATATGATGTCGCATTCAATGTGCCAATAATGGAACCCCCCCCCCCCCCCCCCCCCCCCCCCCGCCCCGCCCCGCCCCGCCCTCGCTCCACGCCGCTCCCCTCTCCTTAGTCTGGGGACTCAGGCAGGAGAGTTCTTTCCCCCTTCTGTCGGAAATGGGAATCATCTGAGAGGGGGAAATTATTTGTTCAGCTATACGATTGGCAAGTATGCATGCACTTGAGAACGCAAGCTATCCATGCACTTTATTTGCACAGTAGATGGACGGCGGGAGCCGTGTCACGAGAATCTGTCGCCCCTCAAGCGCACCCCTTCCGTCTCGGGAGACAATTTGCTAAATATTTTTTCATCGTCGTACCGAACGTGCCATTTCAATTTTAATCCTAAGCTATTTCAATCTCCCTGGACAGACGCGGAATTGGATCGGCCCGAGGATCATCTCGAGGATAAGGAGAGGGGGAATCTTTACCAATTTTCATATCAGTAGTAAAGCTCGAAATCAATTCATCGAGAAGAACTGCACTCAACGTCTACCAATCCGAGAGCTTGAATTTAACCTAAGCGATGTAACTCTTCCGATAGCAGAGTTGATACGAATCAAGAAATCCAAAGGCTTCACATCGGAACCTTTTCCTATCTGACGTGTTTGGTGACTTGTCTCAGCCACCTGTTCGCATCGCATTCCATCTTGAACCGGTTGTCGCGAGTGGAAATGACAGGAAAATATGCTTGAAGAATCCTGAATGGCATTGGATGTCCCCCAGCGGGCCGACCTACTTCCGCGCCCGTGCAGGGCTCTAGTCACGGCTTAGAGTTAAATTGAAATGGTGTGCTGTTGTCGATCTATTCTTCGGGGGAGCATTCATTGTGAGGCTTCCAACTCCTTGATGAGACACGGTCTTTCGCGCCTTCATTGGATCTGATTCACATTGTGTGTTTCATGTTTCTCGTGATAGAAAATGCGTGCGTTGGCGGTGGGGGGGGCTGGGATGATCCTTTCTTCAGGTGTTTCTTCGTGAATAATGATCTCGTAGCGTAGAGAAGAATCGAGTCTTTGGGGTGGGGAATGAAAAACAAAGGAGGGGAATGGAAATGCATGACGTGAATCCCAGCCCCCGCGATCCCTAGGGACGAAGGATCAGGTTCTCCATGGATCCAAATGGGCCCAAGACAGGGAAAAGTGGATACTCTCCGTGATCCGCATTTCCGATTCCGAAACCGGCGGAATTTTTCTCCCCTTTTCTACATGCAGGTCTCCGCGACGAGCACCGCAGCTTAATGCGTTCTCCATAATTCCATGCATTCTCCTCCGGATCGATCCCTGGCTCCTACGCCGTCCCTATTATGCCTTGACTCGACTCGTTCTTCCGATTCAATCACTTCCAGATGACTCACTTTTTCCCTTTTTTTATGGAGTTTTCTGGAAACTTGTGAATTCAGGAAAAAAAAAGTCATGTGTGCTTCCAAAGAGACAGTTGTTCCAGGCACACTCGGTAATTGAGTTAATTCAAGACTCCAGGGCTTGGTGCTTCGCTCCCCTTGGAGCGACTAGGCTCACTCAATCGAAGCTCTCAACCGAAGGCCTCCAATTTGTCGGCCTACAGCGCCAGTTCCACCGAGGCTGCTGCTGAACTCTCGAGCGTATTTTGATGCTGAGCCCCTTTTAAGCATTAATTAATATTAAGCTCAATTTATTTTTAGAGTTTCAACGTTTTTTTTCTTGCATATATTTATTCTGTGATTTATTTCCAACAAAATAATGTGCCGGATGTCCGAAATACCTGAAACTCTTCACTTTCATGTGAGTAGTTTTGCTTTCGGAAGGACGGAAGCATTCCCTGGGAATTCCAGGAATGCTCCCGTCCGGCACGAGCATTACTCGTGATGAAATGATGTCCATTGTTTGGGTCTTCTGAATGGCAGATGGCAGGTCCGGATATTAGTGCATCAAGTCGCCATAAGCCACGATAAGGGAGTGCAGTATATTCGCCTCTTTTGTTCTCTCTTCCTGATCTCTTATCGTTTTCTTTGCAGGCTTTTGTGATAGGCCAGCCTTTTCCTGCAGGTAACAAGTATCCAAAGGCTGACTATAAGACGCAGAAGGGGAAGTTTGAAGGGAATTGAGGGTTTCAGGGGGAATTGAGGGTTTCAGGGGGAATTGAGAATTTCAACTCGTATGACAAAATGACCCGGAGAGGAAGCATGCCGACATTGCAGACAGGTAACATCGGTTTGCCTATGCTGATGCCTGCAGTTTGGGTCCTTGTGTTTGCCCAGAAAAGAGGACTGAAAAATTACTCCGACCGCAGACTCCCTCAGGAATGAATGTCGCGCATAAGAGGAACCTGAAGCCTTCAATATTGCATGATTTCTTCCTTACAAAAAATTCATCATCACATCTCATGATATTCTCATGGAATTCCCATGAGGAATACGAAGTTTCCTGAGTTCTCATGAGATATTTATGACGTTTTAATGAGGTTCTTCATGTGCAGTTATGATGTCTCATCCGATGATGAGCAGACTTTTCCATGCCTGACACCATCCATTATTCCCCTCCACCACCCCCTTTGTACCGGATTTGCCCCTACACTCCTCGTACTCGGCTTGCCACTACGTCGCACTGACTTTCAATCACAGGCAGTCGATACGGTGGACGAAGTACAGTGGACGAAGCGCACCTGCCTAAATCCATCACTGGACCCATTCGGTGTTCCAGTCCGGTAATAAACGCGGTTGGCCATTACACGCAGGTGTAATGGCCAAGCTGTGCCAGTCACAGCTGCAGCTCTTGTCTCCAGCTACAACAGCATAAAGGAATGCGTCCTTGAGGCTCCTTCGCACTATTGCATCGCATTACGAAGAGATACAAGAAACAGATGCAGTCATGAGTTGAGCCATGAATTGAGCCACGAGTTGATTAATGGGTTGAGCCATGGGCCGATTCATGAATAATGAGTCGAGCCACGAGCTGAATAATGAGTTGAGCCATGAATTAAGTCATGAGTCATGTCTCCTAAATGGATTCTGGCTACTTGATTGAACAGGAGGAAAATAGTAAAATGCCATGGAGTGTGGCAGTTCCGGCCTCAAATTAACTCATTGATCCGTTGTCAGCTTTCTTCAGATGACCCGTAATTACACTCGGTCGTATCTTCGGGGTCCCGGCTGTGTCATGATACGCGTAAAATATTCAGGTTTGTCCGCTGATGGACTCTGTTGATGTTTCCGTATGCTTTCGTCGCTGCTCGGTGTTTTTTGCACACATAATAATAAAAAAAAGACGGCGACTCACCGTTGATGGAATTCGGCGCAGAAACTCGGAAATCTCAAAATCGGGTCGTGTCAATGTCCTAGGACAACTACCTTCGCCGGCAACTGCCTTTTCTGGCAACTGCCGTCAAATTCTTGCTTCACGCAATGGAGCAAAACCCAACTGTCACGAGGGCAGATGGATGGGCCCGCAACGAGTTTTCTCTTCCGAGAGTAATTGGGAGACTTTGAAAATTCAATCGACTTGATTGCATGCATCTGCGAGTTTCTGCGCCAAGTTGCATCGGAAAAAAATCCTCATTGGATTCCCCCATTTCTCGGGAAAGTGTAAGTCCCCGAGAAACCCTGGAATTTCCCACCTAGAATTCTCTGAGCTGCTCTGAAAAATTTCCCGTCTGCCCTGGTGACAGTTCCAGTCCAGATTCCATGAGCCGTGTCACCCGCGCTATATCATTGCGGGACAAATGATACCCATAAAATGAATATTTTGTGGCCTGGCGTCTCCACGAGTCCTGATGTCGATCGATGAGTTAGCATGATTTTTGCAGGACCAGGGAAATTCTCGTTTCTCCGCCCCTCAGCATATGCTATTACACACCCCACCCTCGTGACCCAGTTGATATCACGTGTGAGCCGCAAGAAATCACGCGTAAACCACATATCACGCGTGAGCCCCGAAGCTCACGGGTGATCTCCCCTGACGGACGGGAGCAATCATTCGGAAAGGCCTCGAGTGGATTATTAATCGGGGAGATATTGTCATCGGCAGGATGGGCAGAGAGGCAGGTTGCCGTGATGGATGGGCGCATCGATGGGAGTGGGGCCTTTTTTCTTCGAAAAAGGAAATAGCCTCTGCAAGAGAAGAGATAATACGAGGATATACACTCTTCCTATCATCATCATTGTGCAGAGGGAAATTTCCTCTATTTTTTGCGGATCCGCTATGAAGGGATTTCCTTGGGCCGGGGACATGAGGGGATTCAATTCACTCATCGAGTGAATTGAATCCGCAATCCACTCGAATGTTTGCATGTGCACTTCCCGAAATGGATTTTTCTATGGGCTCTTTTCCTTATCCTCCCCATGTCCGTTCGATCTTTATTTATTGCATTTCATAATTCATTTTATTATTAAATTCGTAATAAATTTATTTACTATATTTACATTTTATTATTATTTTTTTTTAGGGGAATGCTTGCGGCGGCCCGGCGCCGGAACCAGACCGATTCCTTCTACTGGCTGGCCAGCGACGGCTGGGGAATCCAGCAGAAGCTGGTGGAAGGCCTGGAGGACGTGGCCCAGGGCGCCGTCACCTTGGAACTCGATTCCTCCGTCCTCAAGGAATTCGACCTCTACATGCTCAATCGGACGCCAGACAACAATTTTCGCAATCCGTGGTACGGCTTCCGAAATAGTCCCGATGATGTGTGAAATAATCAACGGAGTCGCTCTCTTGACGTGAAGACCCACAAGTCGCTTGTTACCCATCAATCAATGCCCGAACGATCAAAGGAAATCTCCGAAGAACATATCTCTCTGATGAGCCTTTTTTCTGGCCTCTATTGAATTCTTTATCCTCCTCCGGAACGACTCCCGAGTAGGGAGCATTTGTTATCATCAAACGAGATATTGTGTGCGCCCGGGTGCATTACCCGGCAGGGATGCCGGGATTCCTGCTTCTCCGCATCAATCCGATCGAGGACAATGGCCAATGCGATCGAGGGCACTGGCCAATCCGATCGAGGGCATTGGCCAATGCGATCGAAGGAATTGGCCTGTGCGATTTACCTTGAGATCTTCGCCGTTTATTTTTTCGGGGAAAACAATTATGTTAATAAAACCTTGAAATTAATTAGTCTGCGCCCACAGATATATTATAATTTGACTTCCCGGTGAGAGTCTCTTAATTAATTTCTAATGAATGCCTCAAAACTTTTTCGAATGAAGATTTACTTGCAATCAAGGAAAGACCTCCATTTCCATTCTGCCGATCGTGGAAGCTCATGCATAAAAGAAGTCAGATTCCTGTCAAGAGATGAGTGGAGGCGGGGAGGCACTCGCAAAGCAGTCGAGCGCACAACCCGCCGTCGTTCATTTTCATGCTACGCCGTATCATCCAACTTCCCTTTGCTTCACTTCATTTTTTAAACCGACAATTTTTAGTCAAACAATTATACCTTTAATATGGCTTTGCCGTAAATATGCCAAAATTAACTCCTCAAGTAATGATTTTTTTTTAAAAACACATCTACTCATAGATTCAATGCATCCACGCGCATTTAAACCATACCTCTCGCTTAGAAACAGGGTGAGAAGATATAGCAAGTATTGTAAATAAGTAATTTTATAATAAGCTATAAAATAAAGTAATGCTTGTAATGTGAAATAATATTTACATATATATTCTATTAGTAATATAATAATTAAATATACGAATTTTAATATTTTACTTTTATAGTCGTGACTTATTAATAGTTGGTTGTTCAGTGCGTCTCTCAAGCTCCACCTTGAATCCCAGGTTCGAGGACTTCTGGGAGCAGACGTTCCAGTGCAAACTCCCGAGAAACCTGGAGAAGATGGCGGTGAACGAGATCCCGGTCACGGCAGGACCAGAAGCGAAACCGGTGAAGCCCTGCGACCCGAGCCTCAGGCTCTCCCCGTCGAACGGGTACATCCAGGACTCGAAGGTGCAGTTCGTCGTGGCGGCCGTGTACGCGTTCGCTCACGCCCTGGAGAACCTGTACCGCGACGTGTGTTCGCGGAAGGAGAGGCGGGTCTGCCAGGCCATGAAGACCTTCGACGGGTCCCGGTTCTACCGGGACTACCTCCTCAAGGTCAACTTCATCGGTGAGATGTCCTTGAGGTCCGGCTTTCCAAGGTCAAAACTCAGAGATCTGCCGCGTTCGGAAAAAATTCTCTTGGGTACTCTCCGGAAAAAGCTATTCCCGGCTAAAGAGATATCTCCTCAAACAAAGGGAGATTCAATTTCCGTTTTAGACAGTCTCTTGACATGGGTACATAAGATGTAGGTCCATGAGACGTCGGTACACGAGACAGGGGAGACACGAGACACGGGGGGACACGAAACATGAGACTACCCACAAATGACGCCCTCAATCATGCGTTGGATTTGCGCCAATGGTAATGGAAGTAGATATTTCTTGAGCAATTTCAATCGGAAGATTTTATTTTTAAACTCATAAACAAGAGTTTTCCCTCAAGATTTCACAATGCTTCTTCCACGAAGTCGCTGAGACTTTGAGGAGGGCTATGAGCCTTAAATGAAGCAGAAGAGACCCAACTGCATGAACCATTACAAGCTCGGGGGAAGCTTCTTTCCCTCTTCATCAAGAATATGAGATATTCTCGTCAAAGGGATCTCGTCACGAAAGTTGCAACCCTCCATTACCAGATTGTCTCCCTGCCGGATGTGTAAGGTCTCCCTTGCTTAAGACTGAAGGCAGGAAAGACGGGGAAGGCGGGAAGAGATGGGGAGAGTCGGGGAGAGATGGGGAGAGACCGGGAGAGATGGGGAGAGACGGGGAGATATGGGGAGAGACCGGGAGAGATGGGGGAACACGGGGAGAAACATGAGACAAATAAGACGGGGATGGAGGGAGGAGACGGGGAAAGACAGGGAGAGACGGGAAGGAAATATATCCCAGACATCTTTCATGCTTGGAGTACCCCTCAGAATTCCGAGTATTGAATCTGAGCGAGAGATGGGAGTACAAAATTGGAAACGCGGGAGTTCAACGAAATGAAGGAAGGAGTAAGGAATGAAGAGGAAAACAGAAAGGAAAAAATGGAAAATCGATGAGTTTCATGTGATGTAGGTGGCTCCGGGGGATTGATCAGTCTTCATCCCCGAACCCAATGGATTTCTTCGCTCGGTTAGCCACGAGCCAAGAACACAAAGAATATGTAAAAAATAAAATGAAAGTATTTTTTTTTTATATTGAAAATTCAACTTAATATTAAAAGGTAAAATCAATTTTGAATTCTTAATTTTAAAGTATTAGTCCCATCCAGTCGAGCTTCTTCCGTGGTTCCCAGCCAAATACCAGCCAAATACCATAAAGATGATGATTAGACGGGAGAAGGAGGCGAAAGTGGGAGAAAATAATCATCATTCGCGTCCAAAAGTAATGGACAAGAGGACCTCGCTTTGACAATCGGGAGCGGAAACGGCGGAAAAAAACTATATTCACGGCACGATGCACAAATGAAGACACAAACGCTTTTTCTGGGTCTCCTGCATGATAATGATGATGATGGCAATTTGGGTTTTCTCCGGATCTTTTCTCTCTCTCTCTTTCGTTTGTCAGAGACCATTTTTCATAAGGAGCTTGCCACGACGCCATTTGGAATTTTTTTTGTTTGTGCTTTTTTTTTAAAAATCCTCTGAGGCGGAGAGGATTAGGATTGTTTGAATGAAATGTGCATGCACAGTTGTCTGGCTCAAACAGCAGCGAGGCAAAATGGCACGGAAATGCTTGCAACCTATTTTATTAATTTTTTTAAATGTTATTTATTCGTTTGGATTCATTTTTAGGGATAAAACAGACTTTTGATATCAGTTAGCTTCCAAATGAACCGCATTGGCGAGAATCAAAATTGGCGAATATTGCAGAGAACTCGATCGATCGAGTGAATGCACAAAAAATAGAGTTTGAGTTTATTTTGCCGTACCGAATCAACAAATATTAAAACGATTAAAAAATCTTTCGTCGCCCTAGCCAGCGTCTAATGAGTATACGAAGTGGTATGTGGAAAACCATTCCCACAGTTTCCACTTTGTCCCAACTCAACATCTTCCCGCATCCGTCTGTCACGATTATTAATTTTTTAAAGATGAAAACTTTTTTTTTTTAAGACTTATTTCTTTTGCCATTTCTTGTGGCGCGGAAAAATCCACGGAATCCCCTCGAAAGAGTACTTGGTTTTAACTGCTTAATCGATCCACTTTGACGAAGCATGTTCGAAATAGCAAAAGCTCGAGTGGTGCCGGAAGGGGCGCCGCCCCTAGAATAGATCACGAACTCGAGGGAGTGGAGGGGCCTTCACAGAAGGATTCAATCAAACGGGGCCTTCACAGAAGCATCCAAACCTTCTCAGAAGGATCCAATCAGAAGGATGCCAGGGACACGACACTCGAGAGCGGCCCATTTCGACCCACGATGAATCTCCGCGGTATCTGAGGGAGCCCAGGAAGCGGGACTCTGTTCCCCTTTGATCACGTGTAAGCAGGAGACAGGGGACACAACAGGGGACTCTTAATGACTTGCAGTTTCCGTGCATGTTGACCCGCTTTCTGCACCCATGGATCCATATCGAGTCCTTGGCTATGAATAATAGAGTGGCTCGCTTGGTACGCCGGGGAGACGGGCTATGATTTACTAGGCGAAATATGGGCTCGGATACTCTTTGATATGGGTGTGGATGCCGCTTGAAATGGGCATGGATGTCATCTGAAATAGCATGGATGTCATCTGAAATGGGCATGGATGTCATCTGAAATAGCATGGATGTCATCTGAAATGGGCATGGATGTCATCTGAAATAGCATGGATGTCATCTGAAATGGGCATGGATGTCATCTGAAATGGGCATGGATGTCATCTGAAATAGCATGGATGTCATCTGAAATGGGCACGCATGCTTTCTGAAATGGGAACTCATGCCTCTGAAATGGGAGCATATTTGCCCCTTTGGAACGGGCCCGGATGTTCTCCGTGAGCAATGCGATATTGTTCCCAGAGACGGGGAGGGGAATCACTATCGGGGAACAATGGGGACCTATGGATTTTTCGACCCGCGCTGTTCTACATAGTTACAGGACGGGGGTGGGAAGGAAGAAATATTTTCTGTCATACATTGATTTGGGTAGTGGATGGCCACTCATCGCGTGATACTACCTAGCAGTGCTTGGTGCATTGTCAGGAAGGGGGGCGAGGGAGGGGCTGGGGGTCAGAAGTGGGAGGTGGAGACCGAGGAGATGTTTCAGGAACTTTTTAAGTCGTGAGACATAGCAACCTTTTTATTTTACTTTGTCCAGAAACTGCATTTACTTAACCGAGCCACTACATGTCGTTTTTTTTTCCTTACCCCTGACCAGACGGATTTACTGCTGCTATCTACTGCCCCCCCCCTGCCCCCCTCCCCCTCTTCCCCCCCCCCTGCCCCTCCTTCGAACTTAAGCCCACAACTAGAGCTCTCAATAAATTGATTTTTTAACGGAAAATTCACAGACATGGCCGGAAGCGAAGTGAAGTTCGACGCCTCGGGAGACGGCCCAGCCCGATACAAGATCATGAACTTCCAGAAAATGCCTCGTATTCCACACTTCGAGTACAAGGTGAGTACACTCCATGCATACCACATTTTATTTAATTAAATAATACACACACTGGAGAAAATATAAATCCCCAGTCAAGTGCAGGGTGTCCCAGGTGACACTCCGGGACTTTAATGCTACATAATTTTTGAAAAAATAATGTTGTTTTCCAAATTTTCCGCCAGATATTCAGCATGCCAGCACATTTTTGCAGCAAAGTTTCAGCCGATTCGGTGCGGTAATATTTTTTATATACAGCCAAAAAGTCTAGCGACGTCTCGCTTCACGATGCATCAAAAAGAACCGTGTTCAACAGTTGAACAGTTGAACAGTGTCGCCCGAGTCGATTCCAGGGTAGCAGCCGCACGGAGCGCGTTGAAACCCGCGGAAGCCACGTCGAAGTCACGATGAATAACGATGAGTAACGAACGGGGTGATGAATAAATGCTTCAACATCGATCCGCATGCTTTCCCCCGACCCGACCCGATTCGGGTCATGCAAGGGATCGTAATGGAGTCCGGGAAACGTACCTTCCTCGGAAAATCGTCGGACTCAACTGAGACTTTGTTGCAGAAAATTTATCGACAATATTTGATTTAAAAATTTGATCCTGGATCATAATTTTACCTAATTTGATTTTAAAAAATTCTGAAAAGTTCTGATCATCGGTTCAAATATAAAAACTTATGCAACATTAAAATTCGAACTTGGCTGGAGGTTTCTGTCATTTAGCAAGAGTCTGAGCGAAGCCAATTCTTGCTCGCGAAGTTTTGCGTGAAAATTTTTTGCATGATGATTATATCTTAGGGAAAGAAATGGTAAGTTTCAATATTTAAAAAAAAAATCATAAGATGGAGCATCTGGCTCGATCCCTTCCGCCAATTTCTTTTCGTCGCCAAATTTTCTCCTTTTGAAGAGGTGGCAAGTTGCAATAACCCGCACGTACTTATATCGGCATCACTCGAGTCCGTTCTATGGGTGAATATATGGGTGAATATATGGATGAATACATGGGTGAATATATAGGTGAATATATAGGTGAATATATAGGTGAATAGCTCTGCAAGCCACAGCACGCAATTTCTTCAGTGGCCGCCATTTTCGACCGACACCGGGGGAAAAAAAAAGAAACGCAGCCATTAAAACTTTCAGAAGTAAGGTTTGAAACGATGCATAATTCGCATTTTTAAGTATTTACCGGAATCCCTTTCTCTTGCGATTTCATGAGCGTGAGAGAGGCTAATGACGCATTAGTCCAGGATCAATATTGATTAATATTGACTTGCACTGCCGAGCACACGTGATCTGGAATGGAAGGAATAATAATAAATGATGAGAATAAAAATAAATGATACATAATAATAAGTAATAAATACTTAACAATGAAAGGCTCGATCGAGTCCCAATCATTGGACTCAAATGGAATTTCGATTTCATATTCGTCCGAAAACTTTTTTTTTGCACTGAGGTTTTTTTTTGTCAATTTCGCAAAGGCTTGCGAACAAACTCATCGCGGAAATTTGCTGAAAATTTTGGACGGATGGGGCGTGACGGATGGGGCGTGACTCTCGTTTCCGACGTGCCAGGGAGAGATTACGAGGACATTGATGCGGTAACTAAAAAATTTGGATTCGGCGAGACCAGAATTTTGCAACGAAGTTCGGGGGAAGGGATCGGTCTTCGGGGAAATGAGAAGTTCCTTTGAAAATTCCTGACAGGAAAATTGATCGGTGCTTTCGCGATGGCGCTTTTTCCTTCCACGAATCGCAGGTTCGCCCCGAGAATAACGTTCAGAAGGGATCGTTATTCGTCGAATAGGAAATATTGAGAAGGCCTGCAGAGGGAAAATTGCACGAGTGAAATATTGCGCAGATGGGCAGTTATATTTTTCGCCGTTTCCGACGTCAGTCGCCGCGATCGAACCGCGGACTGGGATCGTGGTGCGTATGTGCCCCCAAACCGCGCGAAATTCGCAATATTGTTGGGCGCGACCGAGGGGATTCACTGGCGACTCTGTCTGTTCTGTAGCAAGACAGCGGGGGGAGCTCGAGGTGACTTCAAGGTGACTTCGTGGTGATTTGAGGTGATTTAAAGGTGGCTTAGAAGGGGCATCGGCGAGACGGTCCGGCGTAAATTACTCAATCCTTTTCAGATGAATGCAGAGTTCCATTTATGGGAGTCATGCACTTTGATTTGTTAGACCTTGAGCTGGCTCAAGGTCAAGGTTAGAAGCTTGAGCTTCTTTCCCTTTTTCACTCTAATGTAAGCAAACGGAGACTTACATGGCGTCATTTCAATATTTTGCCAATTACCAAGCATGTTTTCGCGTGCCCAGCAAGATAAAGAAGTGCTCTTGGTATTTATGAAAATTTGAGGAGTTCTAAAAACTGCTGAAAGCGTCGACTCTATGTTCTCTACTTCTTTTTGCATTCCGGTCAGTGCCAATCTGAGATTACTAGCACAATCTAGAATGCCAACATCTCCAGCACTTGGCAGTCTTCCAGATTGAGAATAATTTTTCTTGGAGGAAGTGTCTTGAGCCAATGAGTCAGAAACAGATCAGGCAATCCATATCTAGCAAATACCTCGCATTCGCGCTTTTCGTCGCTTTCCGTCGCTTTCCGTCGCAATTAGTCGCACTTAGTCGCATTTCGTCTCGTTTTGGTCGCATTTTCATCACATGTTCACAGCTCATCCTAGGAGCCATCGATGCCGAAGAAATATCCTCTATTGGATGTGACTGAACCTTGAAGAGGAAGAAAGAGACGTGAAAAATTCCTGTGAAACAGGGATTCCAAGGGAGAATCCCTTCGTGACCTGTCCATAATTCATGGATCCGTGATGGACGAGACATGTGCACGCTCTCCGCACGGCAACTCCCTTGCCCCCCCTCCCCCCACCTCTTCCCCCCCCATCCACCTCTTCCCATTTCCTTTGCGGGATCCTCAGGTCCCATCTGGGTGTGCCGGTTTTAACGACAGGTCTTCCCAACCGGGTCCTTGAATTTTCGCTCTCCAGTCGAAGTTCAGACTGCAGACGGGAATCTTCACGACGTTTTTTTTTCGTGCCGATCAGTCATAATTAGAGGCGCGTCCTAAGCTATCATCATATGATGATTAGCTAACATCTTTCACCGAAGAGGTAGCAAGCACTCGATGATCGATGAATCTTAATGATGAATAAATGTTAACCATTATTGGGAGGCATTATTGGCTTCCAAAGATCTTTGTGGGAATGATGGATAGTTTTCTAAAATGATCGTTAAGTTGACGACAGAGCCATCTGGATGCTCTTCCGTCACGTGACCACATTGCCCCCTTCTTTCCTTCCGCGGTGAGATCCAGTAGTTAGAAATGTCATTAACGTTGAAAGTGGCGTTGAGCTTAGCGGGAAGGGGGAGGGAGGTAATTCGGGGTGAGGTACTTTCTGCTTAGGTACTTTATGCTAAGGTACTTTCCATCTTCATTTCCTTGTTAGCATGTCTGCACGCGATCACAGGCCATTACGAATGGGAGAAAATTATATGCGCGCTTCCAGCAATTTGAATATTCAAGCGATTCTGCAATAGCGGCTCGTAGCAATGCAAATGCGCAAAAACTGCACTGGCTACGACGGAGACATGGGATCCTCTCCAAAACAGATTAGAACGGTCCAGGCTATTTATGGACTTGAAAACACGATTGAGATCTCTCCCGAGGGTACGAAAGGGGGGAGAGGGATGGCGGAAATTAGATCCAAGGATTAAAGGGGAGTACGAGGGCAATTAAGAGGAAGTCTGTTTGAGTAAATCCATCGACGACTCCTTTCCTCGTCCGCGGATATGAGAATGGCCGCGTTCCAAGGAGCCGGCCATTTGTGTTCCTTTTTCCTCTCAACCCCCCCCCCCCCCCCCCCCCCCTCCCCCCCCAGCCACTCCGCCCGAAAGAGTTTGCACTTAAATCGGCGGCCTTGTCCTAGCAGAAGAAAAAGTTTCGAGCTCTGAGGAATGCGAAGACTTTTAAAGTTCTGGGACTCATCAGATACGATATCCAAACATTGACCTTTGTGAAGGGCAAGACGGCTGGGGAATGAGAACCGATGGCCTTCAATTAGTCAAAGGCGTCAAGTGCGAAATTTAGATGAATATGACTGGAGACGGGGGCTTTCTCGGGGCATGTTGAGCGAGAAACTCTCAGATTGCAGATATATTGCAATATTGCACATGTTAAAATTGCATATTGCATATTGCATATTGCTTATTGATTGACTTCGACTTCGGATGACAGTGTGATTGATACATGTCAGATTCATTGTGCATTTTTGTTTTATATTCCTCTCTGCTATTTCCGAATGATTGAAATTTGCAAATTTTTTTTGCAGGAAGTGGGGTCGTGGGCGGACGGGAAGCTGATAATGGACCCGAAGGAAGTGGTGTGGAAAAAGGGCTCGCGGGTGTTTCCCTCGTCCGTCTGCTCCCTGCCGTGCGGGATCGGGGAGGTCAAGTACATGCAACAGGTACTTGCAGTACTGGTCGCGTTTCTCGTGATGGGGCGGGGTCCGATGCCGTTGCGACGAGCATAAGGAAAAAGTTAACATAAAAAAATTGAAAATGGGGGAAAAAAGAACAGAAAAATAAGAGAAATAAAAAAATGGGGAGAAAATGAAAAATGAATAAAAAAAAATCGAGACTTGTGAAGAAAGAAAAATAAGGAAAGCTGATGTCCAAGGCGATGAAAGGAACCGAGAGGCGTGCCTTGCATGAAACTTGAAAGGCGCTACATCCATCAAGATTTTCCCGAGATAAGAAGAAAAAAAAAAGCGTGAAGGCCAATTCTCTCCCGAAAGAAATGAGGGTGATGATACACAGATGAATTCATATGGCATTATATATATGAACATTCTGGCGTATCCATGATGAGATTGCTCGGTGACCGTGGTCTTACGGGATTTGGCAGCTTGCCACATTCGCCCCCCCCCTTCCCCCTCCCCCCCCCCTCCCTTCCCCCTCCCCCCCTTCCCCTCCCCCTTATTCATTCATTATTCCGCAAATCACTTCATGCTCGAATGGCAGGGATCCCTTGGTCATTTTTCCCTCTCGAAATTATTCTCAGGAAAAAAAAAGTTTTTTCTTCTTCCGCGGCGTCAGACTGGAAAAGGCAATAAGGGTTGTTTTTGACCTCTAAGGGCATTTCCTCTTCAGCGCTTAAGCTGATTAGGCTTAAGCAAGCTGATCAGGCTTAAGCTGATAAGACTCTCTGCCCACTAGGCTTAACTTAGTAACCTTTTCGGCTTCTCCACCCCAGCTTGCGAGAACAATATATTCCTCGAGGAAATCTCAATAAATAATTCATTCAGAAATTCTTCAGTTGATTTAATTTTAATACCTTTACATTATTATATATATTACATTTTTAAGAACTAAGGCGATCTTCACCTGATCATATTTGATTTTCAGCTTAATTTCAACATGTGGCATCGGTACCACGGCCGAGTTCCGAACCATCTCATGAAAGTATCATGTCATGCATATTGAGCGCCATGCAATGAATATTGAGTGCCAGGCAATGAATATTCAGCGCGACATGTAATGAAGATTGAAGGCGACAAAAATGAGCAGCTGGGAGGCCGGATCGGAATCTATTATTAACGAGGTTGACTGTAATCCGCATATATATATGATATATACTGTATATATATATATACTGAATATATATATATTCGTAGCTGCGACGAAGCGGGAGAGAGAAGCGAAGACCTTAAGCGAAGACCCGCAGGGCAAAGACCTTAAGCGAAGTCTTAGAAGCGAGGTGGCCAAAAATAGCCCTTATTGGCCCGCTTTCTCCTCGAAACCGATTTTAACGGCTTAATCTCCCGGCTCGGCTCGAAAAGAAAGGATTAACGAGGAAGAAATGTCCTCGAGGGACATTTGAGAAAGCGCCCAGGTTTCCCTTCCCGCATCGACCGGTGCCACCGCGACTAACCTAATTTCTTCCGGCCAACCCGTTCGTGATTCCTTTTATTTTCTCCCTTTTATTTCCTTCCTTGGCTTTCCTCCTGCGTCTCCCCCTTCGGAGCGGAAGCGACGATGGCCGGGGGACGGAATCGTATCAGGGCTCCTCCTCGCGAGGGGGATCCGTTTACGGGGCGGAGAATTCGCGGTGTGAAGTCTCGATCGCGAAAATTCATGGGAAATGACTTTAAATGAAAATGAAGATAACTTATGCCCATGCCGCAATCTCCAGTGCAAAAAGAAATCATTTGTTCACTCTAGTCGTCACTCTAATTGTTCACTCTAGTCTTCACTCTAATTGTTCACTCTAGTCTTCACTCTAATTGTTCACTCTAGTCTTCACTCTAATTGTTCACTCTAGTCTTCACTCTATTTGTTCACTCTACCCAGGGTGAGACGTGCTGCTGGTACTGTTACCGCTGCCAGCAGTGGGAGTTCCTCGCCGACGAGTTCACCTGCCAGGACTGCGGATTCGGGAACTGGCCGCACGAGAACAAGACCGGGTGCTACGCCCTCACGCGGCAGTACATGCAGTGGACGAGTCCGTTCGCGCTCATTCCGATCGCGATCTCGTGCGCGGGGATCCTGCTCACGCTCGCGGTGATCGCGGTGTTCGTGCGGTACAAGGAGACGCCGCTGGTGAGGGCGTCCGGGCGGGAGCTGAGCTTCATGCTGCTCGCGGGGATTCTCATCAGCTATCTGAATACGTTCTTGCTGCTGGCGAAGCCGTCGCCGCTCTTCTGTGGCTTGCAGGTATTTTTTTTTTTTTAGCCTTGAATTTTTCGCGACGATTAAAATTTCCAAGCGGAAATGGCGGTTTGACCGGAATGGGCTGTCCAAAAAAACATTTAAATATATATGACTGAAGAATTCTATTCTAAAAGTATGCCCAAAAAAATGAACAATAAAATTCCAATTAAAGAGCTAATCGGACATTCCGAAAATTTGCCCGTGGAAACTGAAGCGCGAAGTCCAATGCTTCATGATGTGGTACCCCCCAAAATGAATATATAAATAAAAATAATAATATTTTTTATGGAAAAGTTTAAAATAAATATGCAAAAGTTACATTTGCGTTTGTTCCAAAAGCGATTCGGGATCGGAACGGGATTCTCCATCATCTACTCCGCCTTGCTGACGAAGACGAACCGGATCTCGCGGATCTTCGACTCGGCGTCCAAGTCCGCGCGGCGGCCGAGCTTCATCAGCCCGCGGAGTCAGCTGATCATCACGTGCAGCCTCATCTCGGTGCAGCTGCTGGCGACGGTGGTGTGGATGATCGTGGAGCCGCCGGGGACGAGGGACGACTTCCCGGACCGGATGCAGGCCATCCTCAAGTGCCGGATCAAGGACCTGTCCTTCCTGGTCTCCCTCGTCTACAACATGATGCTCATCACCACCTGCACCGTCTACGCGGTGAAGACGAGGAAGATCCCGGAGAACTTCAACGAGAGCAAGTTCATCGGGTTCACCATGTACACCACCTGCATCATCTGGCTCGCCTTCGTTCCCATCTACTTCGGGACCGGGAACTCCTTCGAAGTACGGAGAAAGTTCGTTGAATTTGGGAAGTGAAGCAGGAAATCGCTTGGGTGCACACGACTGTAATATGTGAAATATGTCTTCTCTTTTGGTTCGCACGAGTGAATTTCCTCTTCCAGCGGGAACTTTTGATGCGGGCCCGAGCCCAGTGTCTTAATTGTATTTTTAGGATGAGATATGACATTTTTATTGCGCAGTACGCAATTGAGGAAGAAAGGGGGACTCTTGGGGCAGCCAGGAGTGTTTTTGCGAGGGTCTGGGACGGGCACTGTGGTATATTGCGAAGAGAAATGCGATTCCAATCGGTCGTTGCCTGATTGGTTAACACCAGATGCATCGTCTGCTCGGAGTGGCTTCTGATTGGTCGTTTCGAGAGGTGTCGTCTGCTCGATGGGATTTCTCATAGGTCACTACACAATGAAGCGTTTTCAGTCACTGATGGTTTCTCTTTACCACGCTTGAAGGAGTCCAGCAGAGAGAGCCAGCAGGGCGCGTCTACCTGTCAGATTCGGCCTAGAGGGAGGAAGTTCGAGATTGGAGGGATTGCGGAGTCGCGCTTGTGAGAGCATAGCGTTGTGTAGCATTGCAAGCCTAGTTGGTGGCTCTGACCGCTCGGCCTTCGAGTTAGTGCGCGGTGCCTGCGTGGTAGGATGCGAATGAGCGGATGTCGATGTTCGCGGGCGTGTGAGGCGCCATGTTGTTTGCAGGGTTGCCGGAATGTATTGGTTGTATTATTTCAATTTTATTTGGTGGATTCCAGCTTTCGGCCAGACTGTGTAAGAATTTTAATTTTCTCCTTTGAGGCAGGGTCGCCTTTGCTCTCTTTTCGCCCCGCCCCGCCCCATTTAGACTTTGAAACGTCGTTCGCTAGAGATTTTCTATCAAATATGCATGCCTCTCAGGGGAATCAAAATGTTTTCCTGGAGCACATTTTTAATGCAATTGGAAGGGTTTTCCTGCTTCCAATTTCTGCCATCCCTTTCTCCTCCTTATGAAGTGATGGATTCTTTACTTTAGAGTTCTTTATATCCGGCCTTTTCCTGCTTCTTGCATTTCCTCGATATTTTCGTGCTGAAGTTCGTCATTGCTCTTGAGAGTATCGATTCATGGCTGTTTTACGACTGGAGAGACTCGTTCTTCATTAACGATTCGGAAGTCATGAATAATTAAAAGAGGAGGTGATGTCGGGAAAACACGTCGGGGGAAGTTTCTGTTTTTGTTGTTGCAGGATTTGTTTTCCTTTGGAATTATTCTCCCGACAGGAAAATCCCAGGAGTCGCGCCTGGGAGTGACAGTTCATACTCCTGGCGAAATTAAGCCATTCCCCGCGAAATTGAGCCGATTCCATTTTTTTTTCTTTCTTCTCCCCCCCTTCCACTCTCCCTAATTTCCTCGTGAGGATTCCAAGGCAAGGAATAAAACAGATTCCATGTTCCCGTTCATCACAAACAATATAAGTCTCGAAGCTATGAGAAAATAATTTCCTCAGGTTGCATTTGATCGAAAGAAAAACCCTCAAGTCTAGAAAAAGCCGTCAAGAAAGATTGACGTCTGACAACCTCAACCATGTATTGGAGGAAGCAATAAGGAAATACAAAAAAATGAAATTATTTGGGGAGGGAAGGATATCTTCTTTTGAATGCACATGCTGTTAAGGGCGGAAATTCATTTCACTTCAACCGGGTCAATTCAACCGCCACTCGAGTGAATTCCTATAAAAATTCTAGTTATTCCAAATAAAATTCGAGTGAATGTCCATGATTTCCCTTTAGATCCAGACGACGACGCTGTGTGTGGCGATCAGCCTGAGCGCGAGCGTGTGCCTGGTGTGCCTCTACTCCCCGAAGATCTACATCATCGTCTTCCACCCGGACAAGAACGTGAGGAAGCTGACGATGAACAGCGCCACGTACAAGAAGGCGCCGTCGTCGACTTCCCAGGCGGCCACGACGGCTGTCACCGTCCTCACGTCCGTCAATTACGGTTCGTGCTCAGATTTGTGACATTTTTGGGGGTGAACAGGTGGTGAACACAGGGTGAACACAGGGTGAACACGGTGAACGTATGAACCGTTAATTTTACTTTTTTACTTCTCGACTTGGCTATTTTGGGAATTTCCAACGATCCTCGCAATACCGCTATTTTCTCTCCATCTATCTAATTTATTCTGGATTGAGTAGTACCAAGCTCTCCCGCTAGATGATGGGTGTCTCGCGGCAGGGAGGAGGCAGGGCCAGCTCACTGGGCTAAGAAATAGAACTGGAGATGGCGCGCAATACAATGGTTTTGGGGCAATTGGAAGCCATCTTAGTTGGGTCTGTGGTGGCTCTTCTCCATTCACTACTATGGGATTTTCATAATTTCCAATCCCAGTTTTCTTGCTGTCGTGATCGTGATGGCAGGCAGGCATGGTACTGGAGGCCTAATAATTAAACGTCATGTCGGAACTCTTCTTTCATGTGGGCGAGTCTCCTATTTCTCGAGCGGGCCTGCAAGTTCCAGGCCTGCCTTTGCTGAGATTGCTGTGCCTACTAAGGCGATAACGTTGCACCGCCCTTGCATAATCACAGTCGACATATTTCACAGGCTAAAGGAAAGGCATTAAACAGGCTAAAGGAACGAAGGGCGACCACGAGGTGCATGGTAGAGGTGTTGGCGGGTTTTGGGGTGCCGCAAGTGAAGCGCAGAGCCGTGTGTGCGGCCAAACAATTTTTTGCTTCTTTCCGCACAATTTTCCTGGAAGAGAGCGAGGCCGAGTCGTAAATCGAAGTTCGACGAACGCCGTGTTTATTTGCAGAAGGGGAAAGAACGACTTTTCTCGGTAAGAGAAGCGAAGATATGAAGGAGGATGAGGAAAATATGCGGAGCATATTCTCCGCATATTTTCCTCTCGCATCGAGATTAGTGACGGCATTGAGAAGGAAGCAACAATAGTGTTAATTTTAAAATATCAGGAGGGAAGTCGTCTCGCAAATTTCGTCCCATTCATTAACGTAAATGCGAATATGAAAAAAGCCAGACTCCAAAACGGTCTTCGACACGTTTAAACGATATTTTCGATATTTCCTAAGGCCATTCCTTCGTATTCAATACTTTTTTCCTGCAGTAATAAGTGCTCATCAGAGAGCAAGGATCTTCAAGAAGCGTTTGCTTGCGGGGATGGACCTTTATGACCTTTTGTCCCGCCGGCGGCCGCATTGGGCCAGCCAGGGTCGCTCTAACGCGATTGGCTGGAGGCCCCGGTTAAATAACCGCGGATGTGAGGTACTCGGAAAAGTTGGAACCGCGGGTCTAACCGTCCAACAACGAGGTATTCCGTTGGTTTCCGAGACTCGAAAAATATCTCGCCCTGCCGCTTCGGGCGGGATTCAGAGCTTCGGTCGGGGGAGCGTAGGTGGCGCTGGCGGTTCGGTTTCGGTCGGTTCCACGACAGAACATCGACCGAGAGTTTCAGGAGTAGCCGTTCGTATAAAAAAAAAAAATTCTCATATGGAGTCCCGGCTGATCCACCGAAACGCGTTGGTATTTCTCCGCTCTCTGGTTCGCAGCTGATCAAAATAATATTTTTTTAATTCAAGTTTTCTCGTTTCATTTCGCGGCTCATGGTCTTTTTTCTTATCATTTTGTTGTTACCATTTTGCCTTGCTCGAATATGCAAGCTTCAGCTGACCTGGTTCTTCCCACTCACCTTAACGTAACGTTTGACCTGATCGTGGGAGTTTCCGTAGCCTCGTAGGATCCGTTTATAAGGAACTGCCTTGTCAGGTGTTTGCAGGTAATAAGTTACATATCAGTCATTACATACATATCATTGCATACATATCATTACATACATATCATTACATACATATCATTACATACATATCATTACATACATATCATTACATACAAATCATTACATACATATCATTACATACATATCATTGCATACATATCATTGCATACATATCATTGCATACATATCATTACATACATATCATTACATACATATCATTACATACATATCATTACATACATATCATTACATACATATCATTACATACATATCATTACATACATATCATTACATATCAGTCAAAAATATATTTAATGATTTTTTTAGTTTCCATGTTTCGTCGCATCGATTTTTCGTCGCGCCGATGTTTTGAAACGATACCGGTTTGGCAAGGTCGAGCGCTGCCGACGGCGACCACCGGCGACCACCGGCGACCACCGGTGACCACCGGTGACAACGTGAACCTGCAGCGAGTCAAAAACATCCGGAGTTCAGTCGAGATTTGCGATTCGAACTGGTTCGCAGTTTCCCAGCGTTCGCAACCATAGCAACTAATACTGGGAAATCCCTAATTACCTATTACGCTGTGACTACCCTGAATTTGTGTCGCTCTTAAAGGAAAAAGCACTTTTGCCATGGAAACAAATTTCGAGAAAATTGCTTAACCTCCAGCATAGGAAAAATCTCAAACAAGAGGAATCTATTTTGCTTATGTTTCTGAGTGCTTGTGTGTTTGTGTGTGTGTGTGTGTCCTTTATGTACGGCCACGCCTCTGATCCCAGTCCGACCAAATATTGCATGGCTTCCTCATTTGGTCCCGGTATTGCCATTTGGTGGCGTTTCAAAATTCGGACCCCCCCCCCCCCCCGCGGTACCATATTTAGTGCAGACTAGCAGAGGTACCAGGCGTGGCAAGGGTGAATATTGTATGCGTCCCATATTTGAGGGTTTAATATTATTTTAATGCCTCTTCGGCAAATCCGGCTAGAAATTGTTTAAATTATGTGGCTTTTACTACACGACCAATCGCAAAATTCCAGTAGCAGGCTGCATGTTAAAACTTAAAATTTTTGGGGCTCTTTAAAAAAATGTGACTCCTTGGCGGGGTTTGTAGTAGTGAATCGGCCGAATCTGCACTATACCTGTATAAGATACCGCAGGGGGAATTTTGAAACGCCACCTAGCCTATGACCATCCTCGGACCAAATGAGGAAGCTATGCAAAGTTTGGTCGGACTGGGATCAGAGGCGTGGCCGTGCATGAATGACAGACACACAGACACACACACACACACACACACACTCTCTCTCTCTCTCTGAAATATAATAGTAAGTATAGATTTGGTCGATTCACTACTGTAGACCCCCCAAGGAGTCAACATTTTGATGGCTCATTAAAAAAAGTTATGCCGTAACATGCAGCTTGCTACTGGAATATGGCTATTGGTTGTGTAGTAAAAGCTACTTATAAAAAAAAATTTCTAGCCGGGTTTCCTGAAGAGGCATTAAAACAATTATTATTATATATATATATTAAACCCTCAAGCATGGGACGTATACAATATTCACCTGTGCAACGCCGGGTACCTCTGCTAGTCTAAAATAAAACCTAAAATAAGTTCTTGAAAGGACCGAAAATAAATAAAATAATATTTCGAGACCCACGCAGAGTTATTTTTAAGACTATCGCGAGGTGTTCGCTCTACTTTGCCCCCTCCCTCTTCAGCCCCCTGCGTTCGCCCCCTCCCTCTTCTCTCCCTCGCGAGGCAGGCATTCGAGCCGAAAAGCCTGACAATCCCCGAGTATAGAAGTCTCTCGGCGAATCATGCCTTCCGAGCCGCTTTTATTAGCACTAAAGCCACTTTTACGAGCCATTACATTAGCTTCGGAGCTCCTTCCGGCGCTTCGGATGGGCTTCGGTCGCAGACATGAAGATGATTACTCAAGTGATCATGATTCCTGTCCAAATAAAGACCATTCTCGAAAGATACTACATCGAACGGGATGCAGCCCTTACGAAGCGTCCACCTCCTGTGTGGATTTGAAACCAGGTGGATGTCCCCCTGGGCGGTATTTCCACCTGTTGGAGCGATGTCCACCCGGGGAAAAATCCATCCGGGAGGGAAAATCCACCTGGCTCGAAGTACATGTGCGCGAATGTCTCGGAGGTTTTCCACCGGGGGGGGGGGGGCGTTCACCTGCTTCCAAATCCACCCCCTATCCACCTGGTTGCCTGGCCAGGTGGATAGGGGGGGGGGGGGGGAGGATTCTGGACTCTGGACTCTGGATAGAGGACACAAAATACGCTTTAAAAAAAGGTTCGAACTATGACCTTCACCTGGTTGTATGTTCTCAAAGCGTCCTCAAACGTCCTCAAACACTCGAGCAAACATTTGAAATGGCTTTTAACTCCCTCCTGAAAACTTTTTGATATTGCCACATATAAGAACCATCTCTTCAACTGCTAAGGGACTCGATACAAGAGATTATGTGAAAGTCCCAGATGGTAGGATTGATCCTGGCATTGATGATGCCATCGACGATTGATTGAAATTGATGATCGATTGATGTTAATGAGCCCTGACATCCTGGAAGCTGCAGAAATCAGTTTTGGGTCGAGTTTGCTCGGTTCCGCGAAAATGGTTCTTTAAAATTGTAACTGAAGGACCAAAATAGTTCCTTAAAAGTGTCACTGAAGGACCAAAATGGTTCCAATCCGAACCTTCAATTTTTAGAGTGTATACAGTATATAAGATACATGATGCATGATACATGATGCATGATACATGATATATGATAAAGGATGCAAAATACATTATACATGATAAAGGATGAAAAATACATTATACATGGCAAAGGATGCGATATTCATGATACATAAATGATACAGGATGCATGATACACGATAAAGGATGCAAAATTCAAGATACATGATGCAGGATACGAGACGCAGGAATGAAGATACAGGGCAGACGATTGCGTCTCGCGTGAAGAAAGCGAATCGCTAATGAGAGCCGAAGCTGCTGGTCTCTCCTGATTAATGTCGCAGCTGCATGAAGCGGCAAAAATAGGGGGGAAATGTTCTGGGAGCAGTCTCCGGTTCAATTGTCCCATAAATGTCGGGGAAATTTCCTCCCGGGAATCCGAATCGCGGAAAAGAGACGGGCCGCTGCAGCTGATGCAAAGTCGGGAAGTAATTGCGAAGTGGAATTTTTGGCACAATGATTTT